AAAAATATTTGTAGTGCATACCATATTCTCCATAAGTGAATATCTGCACTTTAAAAGAGCACTTATCAATTTGAAGCACACATATCCTTTAATTCAGCAACTCCATTTCTGTAAATTTAACCTAAGAAAATAAATGAGGGTGAAGGTGGTCAAAGGGTACAACCTTCTTATAAGATGAGTAAGTTCCAGGCATGTAATGTACAACATAGTGACTTTTAGTTGACAGTATTGTATATTTGAAAGTTGCTAAGAGAGTGGATCTTAAAAGTTCTCAGCACACAAAATATAACTGAGGTGACGGATGCATTCACTGCTGTAATCATTTTAACAATAGAAATGTGTATCAGTTCATCATGGTGTACACCTTAGAAAACTGTGTTATATATCAAGTATATCTCAAACTGGGAAAAATGAGTATACAAACTTGTATGTATAAGGATTTTCACTAGTTAAGTGTTCATTGATAGCGCTTGATTAAATTGTACTGGCATAAGGAAATACTGTACAGCTGGTGAAAAGGATATAATCTACATGTTTTTCCATGTTTTTATGTACATGGAATGATATTAATTGGTGTTAAGAGAAAAAATTTGTTATAGGATACTTACTGCACATACAGTGTATAAATATACATGATTGTGAATCTCAAGACTGAAAAGTTGCAAGTAAGTTGTACAGTAGTAGATGGAAATTTTTTACTTTAAGCTTTATATCATTTGGGTTTTTAAGTAATCATCCCCACAATAAGGATATTTCTATTTCTATTTGAGGTGAGAAATCATGATAAACCAGTGATTTTTAAGCTTTTTTTTTTGAGTCCTAGGGTTCACAGGGTGACCTTGACTGAGAGTTGGGTGGGGGCAGGGCAGAGGCCTAAAGCTAGCAGAAGTCAGGAGGGTCACCTAGCAGAGGCCTTGGGTTAGGAAGAAAGGCATTATAGAGAGTGCCATCTGGAGAGAGGATTTAGTGTACATCAAGATGCGCAGTGCCACAGAGAAGAGATTGTTTAATATGTGAAAGACAAGCCAGTGATGCAGATCATCAAGTATTTAAGCCACTTGTGCTGAGGAACCGTGTGAGCCATTGTTTTCTCGTCCAAAAGGGGAAATCTGTGGGTCATCAGCTATAGATCTCCTAGCAGAAGGAATGCTTCTCCCCTGTCACACAAAGTTGTATCGAGCCTCACCGAACTACCCCCTTTGGCTAATAACCCCTTCTTTGAAGCAGGAGTTCTTGGGAGGAATGTTGGAGAAAATGCTCAGGACTCATACCTGGGATGCAACAGGACAGTGATGAAGGCTCATTTCCTCATGGTATAGGGTTTGTGTGTTTGTTTTAATCTTTTGGGGGCCATGGACTACTATTGGCAGTGTATTGATGTTATGAACTCCGCACAATACACCCGGGCTGTCTGGATTTTATTTATTTATTCATGAGACAGGTGGAGACACAGGCAGAGGGAGAAGCAGGCTCCCTGCAAGGAGCCTCATGCAGGACTTGATCCTAGAACTCCAGGATCACGACCTGAGCCAAATTCAGATGCTCAACCACTGGGCCACCCAGGTGCCCCTGTTGCCTATATTTATAACTGAAGGAAATGCTAAGTAACAGAAGATAGTAAAAATAGAGATGTAATTTTTTTTCCCAAACAAGTTCATGGACTCCAGGTTAAAAACCTATTAAAAGGGATAAAATTATAAAATTGATGTAAATATTGAGATAATCTATAAACACAGTGCCTGTTGTGTGTATATATGGAAATAAAGAAGAAAAATACCACACAGGATATTCTGGCTTATAAGCCTTTTGCAATTGGAAGGTAGTTTAGAGTTCGGTATCCTTTTGCATTATTTCATTAATTATAGTCATAAAGGGCCCTTACTGAATAGCACACCTGTTTTATTTATTTATTTATTTATTTATTTATTTATTTATTTATTATTTCAAAAGATTTTATTTATTCATGAGACAGAGAGAGAGGCAGGCTCCCGGCCAGGAGCCCCTTGTGGGACTCTATCCCAGGACCCCAGGATCACGACCTGCACCACAGGCACTCAACCCAGGTGCCCTGCATACCTGTTTTAAAAGCATATATATGTTTCAGAAGTAGAGAACTACAATATAGGGGTGCCTGAGTAGCTCAGTCGGTTAGGCGTCCGACTTGATTTCAGTTCAGGTCGTGATTTCAGAGTTGTGAGAGTGAGCCCTGCATCAGGCTCCATGCTGGGTGTGGAACCTGCTTAAGATTCTCTCTCTTCTTCTGCCCCTGACCGCCCCCCCCAAAAAAAATAACCCCAAAAAACCTATATGAATGACAAACTATGAGAAGATTCAGTCTGGTGAGTGCTTGCTTTCTGGTTTAGTTTTTTTTTTTTTTTTTTTTTTTAATTTTTATTTATTTATGATAGTCACACAGAGAGAGAGAGAGGCAGAGACACAGGCAGAGGGAGAAGCAGGCTCCATGCACCGGAAGCCCGACGTGGGATTCGATCCCGGATCTCCAGGATCGCGCCCTGGGCCAAAGGCAGGCGCTAAACCGCTGCGCCACCCAGGGATCCCTCTGGTTTAGTTTTTGATTGTGTCCTCACTTGGCAGAAGGGGACTAGCTAACTGGGGTCTCCTTTATAAGGGCACTAATTCATGAGGACCGAGCTCTTATTATCTAATAATCATTTCCCAAAGACACTGCCTCCTAATACTATCACCTTGGGGGTTATGACTTGAATATATGCATTTTGTGGGGACATAAATAGTCCACAGCAGGACCCAACATGCAATGATGAAAGGAAACAAAATCCTAGATCCAAGGTTACCTGGTGAATTGTTTCAAAGTCCCACAAGAATATGGCTGTAGAATGGGAGTTCACTCAGGCCCTCAAACTAATTGCAGAAACTGGGACTGGCACAATTTTGGGGGTCATCAGAGTTAAAGAAACCGAGGAGAATCTATAAAAGCTTTTCTAATCAGAGGGAAGAGGAGAGTGAGCATGCTCAGGCATACCTGCGTTGGGTGGGGGGTGGCTTGAGGGAGAGGGGGACAGAGAGAGAGAGAGAATCTTAAGCAGGATCCAAGGCTCAGTGTGGAGCCCAACTCGGGGCTCAATCTCAGGTCCCAGAGATCATGATCCGAGCTACAACCAAGAGTCGGATGCTTAACCAACTGAGCCACCCAGGTGCCCTTCAAAGTACTCTTTGAAAAATGAATATTGTGATCAAATATATTTTGGAAATCCATCCTTTTTTGTAGATTTGTTTTTAAAGATTTATTTTAGAGGGAGAAAAGAAAGAGTGCATGCACAAGTGAGAAGGGGAAAGAGAAGGGCTTGATCTTAGGACCCTAAGATCATGACCTGAGCCAAAGGCAGACACTTAACCTGACTGAGCCACCCAGGTCCCCCACTTTTATAGATTTTTAATGCACATTAAGGGCATGTTACAGGTTCTGAAAAAAAAAAAAGATCAGATCAGCCTAATTTTGTTTAACCTAGTATTTTTTTTAAAGATTTATTTATTTATTGAGACACATACGGGGCGGGGGGGCAGAGACACAGGCAGAGGGAGAAGTAGGCTCCACGCAGGGAGCCTGACATGGGACTCGATCCTGGGTCTGCTGAGCCACCTGGGCTGCCCTTAACCTAGTATTTGATCACAAGATTTTTTTTTCCCCAGAAATACAGCACACATAAATCAATAATCTAGGGTACCTCTAGGAAACTTTTTTTCTTGAAATTTGGTAACATGTATAGCAAAATATAATCTTGGTATAAAGACAGGTCAACTTGAACTTTCTCCATAATTTCTAAAACATTTTTTCTCTTTGTTCTCAGATGCTAGCACTGATAAACTGAACCACTTTTAATCTAATTCAGCCTGTAACTAGGCTTATTTTGCTAAGATACCTGATGAAATAATCTTATTTTTAAAAATTCATAGAAATATAAACTTAAAAACATCCCAACTTTTACCTCCAGGGACGCCTGGGTGGCTCAGCAGGTGAGCATCTGCCTTTGGCTCAGGGCGTGATCCCGGAGTCCCAGGATGGAGCCTGCTTCTCCCTCTGCCCGTCTCTCTCTCTCTCTGTATCTCTCATGAATAAATAAATAATAAAATCTTAAAAAGAACAAAAACAACTACCTCCAAATTTTACATTTAAAATGTGTAGTTTTGGGCAGCCCTGGTGGCGCAGCGGTTTAGCGCCGCCTGCAGCCTGGGGTGTGATCCTGGAGACCCAGGATTGAATCCTGCATCGGGCTCCCTGCAGGGAGCCTGCTTCTCCCTCTGCCTGTGTCTCTGCCTCTCTCTCTCTCTGTGGGTCTCTCATGACTAAATAAAATCTTTAAAAAAAAAAAATAAAATGTGTAGTTTCTTGGGGCAGCCGGGTGGCTCAGTGGTTGAGTTGGCTCAGGGCCTGATCCTAGGGTCCTGGGATCTATTCCCACATTGGGCTCCCTGCAGGGAACCTGCTTCTCTCTGCCTGTGTCTCTGCCTCTTTGTGTAGCTCTCATGAATCAATAAAATCTTTAAAGTAAAATATGTAATTTCTCAATGAACTTAAGGCTTTCTACCTGTTAAGAACTGGAGAAATCTTCCCTTCAGTTGCTCATTAAAATCAGAAGATACTTTTGTGAAAGGCTTGATAAACCCTAAATATTGGTAGTCTGCATACTATATCCTCAGTGGCTTAAAATGTCTTTCATTTGTCTCTACAATCCTGAAAAATAGCCTATGCCAGATGAGTCATTATAAACATGAATTTCTCAATTAACTATTAGAGATCCTATGGCTTGCTGGAAAAGAGGAGTAACTATCTTATAGTAATTTATACCACTTGTCTTCTGCACATGCAAAATTGCCTTCTTTTTTTATGTTATTTCATCCATAGGAATTCTTTTCTTGTGTGAGTAGTGTGAATAACTACATGTTCAGCCACTGGTTACAGAAGAAATGTAAATTAAAACAATAAATGACATTTCAACTTTATTAAATCAGCCCCCAACTTCTTAACCCCCAAGCATCAATCAGCAAAAAATGTGAGGTTTTGACACAGCTAGTTGGGGTACAGGCTGGAAATCTAAGACAATGCTAGCTGCTTAGTCAACATCCACTTTCCCCTTTTCTAACAGAACCCCATTTTTGGCAGCAGTGGCAAGGTACTCAGCTAAAAAATCATACTTTCTAGCTCTCTTTACAATTAGAAAGTGTTATATAACACTGCCAAATGATATATACGTTGAGGATTTCTTGTAATATTTTGCTCCCCTGATATAGAGAACAAAAAGGAGTTATCCTTTCTGGAATGAGGCAAGAGATAGAACAACCATATCATGACTAAAAAGATGAAAGCTACATACTAAAATTGAAAATCTGGATGTAGCCCAGGGCATTTAAGATATTGTAGAGCTGCTGCACCAAGTCCTGAACTACTTAAATCACAATTTTTATGAAACAAAAATCCCTAATTTTTAAAACTTCAGTTAAGGGGTGCTGGGGTGGCTCAGTTGGTTTAGCATCTGCCTTTGGCTTGGCTCATGATTCCAGAGTCTAGGGATGGAGTTCCACATAGGGCTTCCTGCTCAGTGGGGAGTCTGCTTCTCCCTCTGCCCCTTACCCCACTCATGTTCTCTCTCTCAAATAAATAAATAAAAATCTTAAAAAAAATGATTTAAGAAAAAGTTTTGTGTAATAAAGCATTTAAAAAGAAACATATTGAGCTTAAATGGAAAACACTGGATTGGATGCCTAGGTGGCTCAGCAGTTGCGTGCCTGCCTTTGGCTGGGATCCTGGGATCCAGGATCGAGTCCCGCATCAGGCTCCCCGGGAGGAGCCTGCTTCTCCCCCTGCCTATGTCTCTGCCTCTCTCGCAACCTGTGTCTCTCGTGAATAAATAAATAAATCTTAAAAAAAAAAAAAACACTGGATTAATTTTGTTGCTATGAAAACATTTGTCGTTTAATCAAGATTATCGTCTAATACTAAGGACATTTATGCACTGTCTTTTGTTCAAGAGTCAAACAAGATTTTATTTTATTTTTAAGATTTATTTATTTATTTATTCATAGAGATGCAGAGAGAGAGAGGGAGAGGCAGAGACACAGGCAGAGGGAGAAGCAGGCTCCATGCAGAGAGCCTGACGTGGGACTCGATCCCGGGACTCCAGAATCATGCCCTGGGCTGCAGGCGACGCTAAACCGCTGCGCCACTGGGGCTGCCCCTCAAACAAGATTTTAATAACCAAAACACATTCTCAATAAGAGTTTATTATTAACAATGAAACAGCACCAAGGATCTAAGTAAAATTTCATCATACAGTTTCTGTACAGGATGTTTCACCAATAAATGGCACTCAATTTGTCTTAAAAGCATGTGATTACAGAAAACGGTTTAAACTGTTCATCAAAAACTGGCTGGTTAGGATTTTCCAAAGATACTTCAGATACTCAATACAATTTATCTTCTGAATGTCAACTTGAGATGCACAGGTTAAGATGAAGAACCTTCAAGTAAGTTGAAGATGTGATGCAATTCTCACTTTGTTGTCACTGTGCATCTTCAGACTCTTGCTGCCTTCATCACAAGTATCTTCTACCCCTGAGAGACCAGCTACTTCAAGATGGTTCATCGGCTAAATCACGTTGGTCAAAATACCTAGCAAAAAAATAATTTAGTATATGCTTAAAAATATTAATAGCAATTCTACTTATAATAGCAAAACACCACAAATAACCCAAACACACATTAATAAGAACACTGGTTGAATAAACTATGGTACATCTATACAGTGGAAGACTGAAGCTTTTTATAAAAGCATTTTTTTTTTAATAAAAAGGAATGAGGAAAATACACTGCTATAGTGTGACTTCTGGATTTATTAAGTGAAAAAAAAAAAGGTACAGAACCGTATTTTAGTAGGCTACCTTTTGTAAAGATGTGTGGAAATGCAGATATATTTATATATACTTGCTTATCCTTTTAAAAAGAAACAGTTACTAGAAGGATAAACCAAAAATTAATAATAAAATGGAAAACTACAGAAGAGAAAAAGGCTAGAGAGGATAAAGATAGGTTCTAAAATATTTTAAATGTACCCTGAATTAAAATTTTAACTTTGGAACAATGTATTTTAATTACAAAAGAAGATTAAATAAAAAAGAAAATCACCAAACCTGACCAAATGAATCTTCTCATATGTTAAGTTGCTGGCATAACCATTTAAGTGATCTTAAATGTGATGTTCTGGTATATGTTCCTAGTGAGATATACGAGAGACAAAAAGAACTGCAAAGAATTCTTAAACTGATGTTTTACTATAAGAAATACTGTTAGTGCATTTATTCTGAAATAATTATGTACATACTGTAGGATAAAGCCAGTAATCGTTAATGTTAGAAACCAGAATTTTCAGCAGAGGAGGAAAGAAACATAACATTAAAGAAAAATGGTGTAATCTTAAATTAGGACTGAAATATCTATTTGAACTCATGATTTCATTTTTCTCATTCTAAAAAAAATACATACTTCCTAGCTCTAGTTATTGAAAAGGCCTAAAGGCAATAACCAACTTAATAATAGCTAGCTTCCTCAATGTCCAAACCGTGGGCTCTAAATACCATTTCCTACTTTAAAAGAGGAATCAGCACTCCTGGAAAAAAGACTGATTCCAGATCTGGGGCCAGAAATGTCTATGATTCCAACATACCTCAAAGTAAGAAAGCTATAAAAGACCACCAGGGTTATATAAAACAAAAAGCATAGGAACTGACCTGATGGGTTCCTACTAGCCAAAGATGAACAATCTGAGCATCAAAAGGAATAATGACTGCAATATCCTTTTATCTGAATGCAGTGATCAACATCACAATTCTAGCATTACGTGCCTCCTGATGTGCGTAACAGCACCCATAGTCTTGTCAAACAAAAAGACACTATATATAATATAATATAATATAATAATCAAGCCTTCAGACCAACCTACCAGCTTACAGAAAATATGGGGGATAGATGAACACATCAAACACCATCATGAAGATAAGATATAGCTGTCAAAACCAAAATGTGGGAAATTTTACAAGTCAAAGGACTGTTTCAACAAATAAATGGCAAAGAGATAAACCCAGGAAATTGATGGGGACATTCAGGAGACATATCAAACTAAAGTAATGATTGTATTTTACTTGGTTCTCAATTTCATTTTTTTTTGTTTTTGGGGTTTTGTTGGTTTTTGTTTTTTTTTTTAGCAACTTTATTTTCCGTCAACTTTATTTCCACTTTGCCTTTGTGGAAGAGCAGCTTAAGAATGCTCAGTGGTTGTTCTTATGCATTCAGTGGCCTGAGCAGTGGGAGCCACAGACCAGTCTTCAGGGACAGGCTGAGCACTGTCCTGTGACCAGTCTGTGACTTCAGGTTGAGTAGCAGTGAACTCAGGAGCTGGAGCAGTCCATTCACCCTGCAAGTTCTTCTTGGTCACAGCCTTTTTAGCAGTAGCCTGCTATTCCTTTTCAATGTCTTCAGGTTCTCTGTAGAAGCAGAGATCAGGCATGACTTTGCATAGGTGTTCCCGGGAAATGGTGCCACACATACACAGAACTTCCCAGGCCAGTATCCGCCACATCAGACCAAGTGAGTGAGCTCCCTTGCTGTTGCAAGTGATGGCACTGTCCATATTAGTGCAGAGGAGAGTCTGTGTTACACAGAGTGATGGTAGGCAGGTTAACATAAGACAGTTCTGTGAGAGGCTGTGGTCAGCCCTAGGATCAGTAACCACCAGAAGTCTTGGCTCCAGGAAGGCTGTCTGGATCTGGTTAGTGAAGGTTCCAGGAGTGAAAGGGGCAGCAGTAAGGAGTGGCTCCAGTAGCAGCAGCAAACTTCAGCACAGCTCACTTGTTAGTATTTCTGTCTGATTTGACGCTGACATCAGCCGAGTTTTCACTGGCAACAATGACATGAGCTGCCAGCAGAAGCTTCTCCCAGCTTCTCTTCCAATTTTTTTTTTTTTGAAGTAGGCTCCACACCCAGTGTGGAGCCCAACATGGGGTGTGAACTTCCGACCCTGAGATCAAGAGCTAAGCTGAGATCAAGAGTTGGACACTTAACCGACTAAGCTACCTAGGTGCCCTGCTTCCGGTTTATGATGTAGATCCTATCACTTTTCTCTTTGTAGATGTACTGTTCCATTTGGAGGTCACGGTTGGTGACACCTTAGTGGGTTCCTGCTGTAAGGAATTTGAGGACATCCTACTCCTCCATTTGCAGGACATCAAGGGCTCTGGACATTGTGAAAGTTTCTCTAAGTTACTATGGAAATGCAGAACCACAGCATATGGATGGACCCCTTCCCTGGGTAGTGTGGAAAGGGAAAGGGTTAGACCCCTATTTGAACAATTCAAATATAAAAAGACATGTTGGGGACAACTGAGGAATATGAAACATGAACTGGGTATCAGATAATATTGTGGAGTTGTTATTAAATTTATTTGGTGTGATATCACTATTAGAGTCACGTTTTTAAAAGGTCCTTGTCACTTAGATATACTCAAACAGGAGAAATGACATGTCTGAGATTTGTTCAAAATACATAAACAAAAAAGATGAGACAAATGAAACATTCTGGTAAAGTTAATAAATGTCAAACTTGGGTAATGGATTGCTTGGGGCAGGAGAGGGGGGAAATGTTATTCTACTACATTCATAAGTACTTGAAAATCTCCATAAGAAGCTTAAAACATTTTTCATTGGTAAAATAATTAAGCTATTAGATAGATAATGGCTATTAGATCCCATTTGAATGGAATTCTAATCATTTGAGTAGGTATTTATATCAATTAGTAGTTTTTGCTTTTAAGCTATCAAAACAATACCAATAACCAAAAATACAAGAGACTTATAATATCTGATACTTATATTAAAATGACTACTGCAAAGAGTCAAAGCCTATGTTATCTTTTTTCAAACTTGCTGGAATCTTCTGCAAGTCTTCTTGTCTTCCTTTCTTTTCTTTTTTTCTTTCTTTCTTTTCCCCTCCCTCCCCTTTTCTTTTTTCTTTTCTTTTTCTTTCTTTTTTTATAAGACAGTGCATGCTGCATGAGCAGGGGCAGTGGGGGGTGGCAGAGGGAGAGGGAGAGAGAATCTTAAGCAGGCTCCATGCCTGGTGTGGAGTCTGAACCAGGGCTCCATCTCATGGCCCTGGGATCATGACCTGAGCCAAAATCAAGAGTCACATGCTTAACCAACTGAGCCACTCAGGTGCCCCTCTTCTGCAAATTTTCTTAAGTGAAACCTATGGTCTAAGAAAATTTTCTAGCCTAGAACTTTTCTTCCATTTTTATGTAACGTTTTGAGGGAAAAAAAGAACCATGACCAATACACTTAGATATATTTTTTTTCTCACCATTGCACATTATAAAATATCAGTCTGATGATATAAGTCTCTGGTTCCACTCAGTACTAGTTTACTGAACCTTAATTACTTCATGTTTCTGAACCTGTGTTTTCATCTGTGAAAGTAAAAGAAAAAACTTGGGAGTTGCAAGGATAAAGACCCAGTAAACATAACACTTAGGGCTCTCATTTAATCCTTATTACCAAGAGATCTGATAGTTTGGTATCAGCATAGTCCATAGCTCAGCTCTGGAGCAATGCTGCCTGGTTTTGGAACCTAGCCCTACAATTTACTAGCTTTGTGATGGCAGGAAAATTATTTTATCTCTTCCTGTCATAGTTTCCTCATCTGTAATTGATAATAGCACCTATCTCCTAAGAATTAAATGAGTTTCTATTATGAAGCACTAAGAAAAATGATTGACACAAAATGCCTAGTTAAGGCATTAATTATCACCAGTAGCATAATTATTGTAGATTGAGAAACTGTATGTTGAACACGTGTGTACTCTGAAAAAGTATCTTGTTTGAGGAAGGACAATGGACATAGATCATTTACCTTCTCAATATTTAAATATATTATAAAGCTTTAGAAAGGTATTGGCATTAGAATAAAAACACTGTACAAAAAAATCAAGTCCAGAAAGAGACCTAAAATAAACATATGTGCATGTATATGTGTAAGTATAATACATACATATGAATTCAGAATATGAGAACATTTTCAGATAAATTCAGGTGGAATTTCAATGTAAGAAATGGAATCAAATGAAATCAAATACATACTAAATGAAAATAATGTCCTAACTGAAAATGAGTAAAGAACACAGAAAATTAAAAAAAAAAATTTAAACAAAATGAAATGTTCTCTACCCTCATGGGTAATTAAACAAATGCAAATAAAAATAATTTGTAATTTTTATTATTAGAATGGAAATATTTATATCAACTGAAAATACCCAGTGTTGAATGGGAGGTGGGCTTTCTCACTGACACTTTCATGAATACAGAAAAGTAGGTATTTCTGGAAGGCAAACTGTTAATAAATATTTCAGTTTTAAAAGTACATGCATGGGGCAGCCCGGGTGGCTTAGTCGGTTTAAGGCCAGCTTCAGCCCAGGTCGTGGTCCTAGAGACCCGGGATCGAGTCCCACGTCAGGCTCCCTGCATGGGGCCTGCTTCTCCCTCTGTCTGTGTCTCTGCCTCTCTCTCTCTCTCTCTCTCTCATGAATAAATAAATGAAATTTAAAAATAAATAAATAAATAAATAAATAATAATAAATAAATAAATAAATAAATAAATGTACATGCATGCCCTTCAACTTATTTCCAGGAGTTTGCCCTAGGAAATAATAGAGCTGTAATTTATAAGAATCTATACTGCAGCATTACTTATAGAGAAAAACTAGAAATATATGGAATTGTAACGCATATAATATTGTTTTCTTACAACTCAATTTCCTCTGCTTGAAAATAAAAACAGTACTTTCCATTAATAACACTATTATAAAGCAAGGAGCCAAGGACTACTTACCTGCTAACCAAGCAAATTAATAAATTCAAAGCAGGAACACGCTCATCATCTTTGCTGTCCTAAAGGAAAAAAAAAGAAAAGAAAAATATACAGTGTCCTCCTTAATATTTTTGAAACAAATTTCCTTTTAAGATGTAAAACATGAAAATTTGGGACATGGTTGAGTGTCTGCCTTCAGCTCAGGGCGTGATCCCGGGATTCCAGAATGAGTCCCACATCAGGCTCCCTGCAGGAAGTCTGCTTCTCCCTCTGCCTGTGTCTCTGCCTCTCTCTGTGTCTCTCATGAATAAATAAATAAAATCTTTAAAAAAAAAAATGAAAATTTTATTAGATAATAATAATCACATGGAAGTAGAAAACCTTAAAGAAAAAGTAGAAAACTATAAAATTAACAACACTTGAGAAACATCTGACATGAACTTTTAAAGAAAGGTCCTCAACAAGGAAAAAAAAGAAAGAGTTGAAGGTTCAAAGAGAATAACTTGGGGGAGAGGTTTTTCCTGGCTCCAGGTAGGGAGCAAGAAAAAACCCCTATGTCCTAACTGCATAGTAATGAAAACTATATAAAAATATTTTTTATTTTAAGATTTCATTTATTTATCCATCAGAGACACACAGAGAGAGGCAGAGACACAGGCAGAGGGAGAAGCAGGTTCCATGCAGGAAGCCCGACGTGGGACTCGATCCCGGGTCTCCAGGCCCTGGACTGAAGGCGGCGGCGCCAAACCACTGAGCCACTGGGGCTGCCCTATAAAAATATTTTAAAGAACTTACAATTGATGAGTGAAATCCTGGCTTCTAGCATAAGACATATCAGAAAATACTCCAGCAGATCAGGGTTCTCAATTATGATGGAGGTAGTGGCTGAACTATACATTTTATAAATGGTCTTACAGAGTATGAAATTTATTTTTTGAAATTTATTTTTATACATTTCAAGGTATAGCCACAATAAACTACTGATAAGGTTATGACACAGATGTCACATATTAATTCAAACCTGGGACACACTTCCATGACATTAGTGTACTCAACTCTGTGTCAAACACTATATGGAGCAAAGCTGAATAAAACATATTACCTGCTAATAGCAGAGAAGATGAAATATCTGTATTAACTTTAATGAAAGGGAAAATGTTTTAAGTGCTCATAAACAAAGAAAAACAGAGGATGCAGAAATTCTTGTTAATTGTCAGGATCGGGGGATACCATAGAAAATGATGGGATATGAGCCAGATTGTGAAAAGTAAATGGTATTTAGATGCAGAGTGGCAGAATGAAGAGGCACTTCTATAGACGAAATAAAGTCTAGGAACAGAACATGGGAAATATTTACTGAGTAGCAAGTACATTTTGCTTGGAGTGCAGGCCACAGAAGCTAGTTTGGTCTCTATCAGGGCTGTTTAACAAAGACATTTTTGAGTAGTCAATAGAGAACGAGTATACATTCTGTGGAAGGGATAGGAGCGATGAAAGAAAAAAGAATCCCAAGTGGACTTAATCTGGCATAAAATTTATATTGTGATGCTGCAAGCATGAATTAGTGAAGCGTCTGGAGAAATTCAAAACAGTCATCATGCCAGAGACTTAGTTGACCAGTCTAGTTTCTTGTTTTCCCTTACTCTTTAGCAAAGGAAGCTCACTTTTACCTAGGCACACTGCCACCCAGCTAAAAGCAAACATTTCTCATAGTTCCTTATGGCCCTGTGACTAAATTCTGGCTAAATGAGCTATAGATATAGCCAGATGTGCTTGCAGAAACTCTGGGAAGCTCTGTTAGAGGAGAACTTTCTCTTCTTTCTAGTTCTCATAACTTTCTCTTCTTTCTAGTTCTCGAATATAATGGCTGAAACTCCAACAGCCCCCATGGACCATGACATGAGCTTGACAACAGAAGCCACATAAGACAGAACTCAAAGGCCTGGGTTACTGCCATCTTGGTTTGTTCTGTCCACCTACAGACATCCTTTATCTAAGAGAAACATTTCCATTTTATTTAAGCTACTGTTATTTTGGGCTTTTAAAATTTTTTTTTAAATTTTTTGAAATTATGTGGCCAAATCAAATCTAATCTTGACTAATAAAATATTCCACATTTTCCTATTTCAATGGAATCCTTTTTTATCACCACATAAATTGATGAGCGCTTTCAATGTGAAATAGTAAGTTGTAACTTACCACTAGGAGCCTTACTTCAGAGCACCTTCTTGCAAGCTGCCGAATCAGTGAATGAGCCTCAGGTAATAAAGGTTTTTCAAGACAAGCCAATAAAGCATAAAGCCACCTTCCCTAAATAGGATTTTAAAAAGTAGTAAGTAGCAAATACTGTACCATAAGTTTAACTTATTTTTTAAAATGTCCAAAGTTGCTCTGTTTATTTGCTATAAACAAAATCATGTAACATTAACTGTATTATGTTTGGATCATTTAGATAGCCAGCTGATATCTTTTCTTTTTACTACAGACACAGATCATTGGACACTTCACAATACCTTTAGTCCTAAAGAGTTCATTTCAGAGATTCTTACCATAATTGAAGTCCTAACTCATAGGTAGAAAACTACATTAAGATGTGAATAAATCCTTACAAAAATTAAGATACATTTTTTCCTTTGTCCTTTAGGCAATACACAAGTAATTTTATAATGCTATCCTTTGCCCCTGTGTTTATACAAAGGAACTATACTCTAGATGAAATAACGTTCTGAGGGACACTTGGATGGCCCAGTCAGTGGAACATGGGACTCTTGATCTCAGGGTTGCGAGTTCAAGCCCTATGCCGGGTGGAGAGATTACGTTAAAAAAAAAAAATCTTTAAAAAATTATGAAAACATGTTTTGATACTTCTATAAGTACCATGGCAAACTAAATCTATCCCTATCCCCCTCCCTTTTTTTTTTTTTTTTTTTTAGTAGGCTTCATGCCTAATGTGGAGCCCAATGCAGAGCTTGAACTCACGACCCTGTCACTGCTGGTTTATTCTTTCTTTCCTGAAACTCTGTGAGAGTATAATTATAGATATACCCCCAGGACCCAGTCTAGAGTTGGAACACAATAGGAGCTTAATTAAAATATTTGTGGAATGAATGTTCCATTTTGGATGCACCATAATTTATTTAACCAATTTCCTATTGTTGAGCACTTATGTTTAATTTATTGCTGTTATATAAAAAGTAGTGTGATAAATATCCTTGAATGTAAGTTTTAGAGCATCTCTGATTTCTTGGGCTAAATTCTTAGAAATAAAATGGTGGTATCAAAAGGTATGTATATTCACACATAATATTTCTGAGATATAATCAGTAAATTGTATCCCAGAAAAGTTGTATCAAATTGTATTTCCACCAGCAGTGTAGATGACTGAGTTTATTCTGAGCAACACATCACTTTGGAGAAACCTAAAGAATATTAAAACAATGTTTACATAGCAATTCATGCAACAAACTAAATTAGCTCCTTAAGCTACCCCAAATCAGTAACACTTTTCCTTAAACAAAAGATTCACATCTAGGTTTCTTTTATAAATAGTAAGTGGAATTCTCTTCTACATCAAAAAAGCTATTTTACATTTAAACTTGACTCAAATTTTTGAGGCTACATTTACTATATATAGCTGGCATACAGGTATTCAAATGGTGCTTAAACCTCTACTGACTAATATGTATTTATACTGAGAGGCTCCTTTTCTCAAAGTCAGTGAGCACAATGAGGCAATAGTAACATGTAAAAAAACTCAAAATAGCTGAAGGTAGGGATCCCTGGGTGGCGCAGCGGTTTGGCGCCTGCCTTTGGCCCAGGGCGCGATCCTGGAGACCCGGGATCGAATCCCACGTCAGGCTCCCGGTGCATGGAGCCTGCTTCTCCCTCTGCCTATGTCTCTGCCTCTCTCTCACTCTCTCTGTATGACTATCATAAATAAATAAAAAAAAAATACAACTTCACTTAAAAAAAAATAGCTGAAGGTATTCTTTAATACCTTCACATCTGGATGAAAATATGCTTATATTTCTCAAAAACAAAAATTAAGTAATCCCAAGTAAAGACATTTAAAAAAAGAGATCCATTTTACTTTTGCCAGTTTATGACAGGCAAACTTTGTGATACAGGTTTTCACTTTATACACTGATATTCTCAATAGTAGAGTTCTGGTAGTATGGTTAATTGGATAGAGGAAATGAACACTGTTGATTCAATGTTAGACTCAAAGGATTAACTAGGTTAAAATTTAGTGAATCAGTTGTCATTGGTTCAGAAACACTTCAATAGTTCCTCTGGCAAATAAAGACACTTTTTGGTAATACACTCTCTCTAATTAACAGGAAAACCCAAACATCAATGGGTAATCCTCAGATGATTAAAAAAATAAATTAAAAAAAATCTTATAACACAAAGAGCTAAAAAAGATAAAGGAAGAGAACAGGTTAGGTAATATTGCTAAAAGATCATTATCAGAGAGAAAGAATGAATACAGAATTTAAAGTTCAATATCCAGATGCCAATGAATAAGTAATATGAATATGAACAAAGTTATCTGTTGGAGGTATCACGAATATACCAACAGTGGAAAAAATATTGTTTTACTGATATTCAAGGAAATACAAAGTACGTTTACTTTGGAGTACTACTATAAAATCACTGAATTTGAAAACAAACAGAAATTATAAATGTTAGATTGAACCATATCGAAGACTGATGATCAAATGTTTTTAACCTACAAAAATGGCAAATGCACATGGTTTAAATTAAAGTGGAGTTGCAGGGAAAAGTAAGAATCCTTTGCCAATGGCATCATTAACTGGTTCATTCCTTTTGGAAAGCAATCTAGCAGAATGTAATAAAAGCTTACAAAATCTTGATCCAGTAATTCTAACAATATCCTGAGAAAATAATTAAGTAAACTATGAAACATTAAGACAATGGAAATTATGTGAATTACATTATCATATAGATATATATATTTTATATATATTTATAAACATATTATATTTATAATTATATATAATATATACATAATTAAATTATAATATATATTATATATATAAATATATTATATGTTTATATAAAATGTGAGCTAAACCCAGAATGAGTTACACTATTTAAAGACATGTTTGATCAACTGAATCAAAAACACTGACTTTATCTACCTATTTATTTATTTTTATTTATTTACTTTTTAGGTAGGTTCCACGCCCAACTTGTGAATTTAAGCTATCATTCAGAGCTTGAACTTACAACCCTGAGATCAAGACCTGAGCTGAGCTCAAAGGCTGGATGCTTAACCATGGCTTTGAAATCCAATTCACATAAGATTATCAAATACCAGTAATAGCAAGCACTGTGTGCCAGGCATTACTCTAAGGACTTTGTATATAGTAACTCTTTGAATCCTCCAATAACCTACGAGCTGTTATTTGCATTTTACAGATAAGGAAACTGGAGCACATAAAGATTCAGTACTTGCTGAAGGGGACACATAATCCTAACTGGTGGAACTGAGATTTTCACCCCAGCAATCCAGCTATATACTCTTAACTATGCTCTACTGCTCCTCTATAGTTTTATATTCACAGCTCATTTTTCTCCTTCAACAATGGGTCAGTTTGGTGGGCATTACATAAATGAATTATCTGCTTAGTCCCCTAGTAAGAAATTTTATTATTCTTTGAAGTTAGATTTAATTTTTAGAAACATGTATTTTTTAACAGTTAAGGATGTTTCCAAAAGAGTGTACCTGATTCTCCAAAGCTCCCTGTGAAAGCCTAAGATATAATCTTTGCCCTCCAGAAACTTAGAGTCTGCTGGGAAAAATAAATACACCAACACTGCAATATAATGTACAAGTTTTTAAGCCTGCCACTCAGCCAAGAGGCTTAGATAAGTCACTTCATAAGTATAATGTTCATATTATCACTAGATTTTCATTTTTTGGTTTTATATTTTATTCTTTTAAATCTCTACTATATAACATATATATTTAAGTGGAAAAAAATGAATGTTTAAAATCACTGTTTCTGGAGCACCTGGGTGGCTCAGTAGGTTGAGCATCCAACTCTTGATTTAGCTCAGGCCTTGACTGATCTCAGGGTCAGGAGTTCAAGTCACATGTTGGGCTCCATGCTAGGCAAGGAGCCTACTTAAAAAACAAACAGGGCAGCCCTGGTGGCGCAGCGGTTTAGCGCTGCCTGCAGCCTAGGGCATGATCCTGGAGACCCTGGATCGAGTCCCACATCAGGCTCTCTGCATGGTGCCTGCATCTCCCTCTGCCTGTGTCTCTGCCTCTCTCTCTCTGTGTGCCTCTATGAATAAATTAAAACAAACAAACAAACACAACACACACACACAAAGAAAATGCATTTCAAATTTCTTTAAGCCAGTACTACTCAAAATGGGATCTCCAGACCAGATATAGTTGGTGACCTATTTGTTACTGGACTATAATGAGATAAGTTGCTTCTCCCAGAATATAAATCAACTCTTTAGTTGACTTTTTTCCAAGGAAAATCTTTCTCAATGAAGGAAGTAGTATGTTAATATGCATTCTACTGTCAATTCTTTATTTCACTGCAAACAAGCATAGTTTGCATTGTATACATAGTTATACATACAGTTATAACAGATATAATATACATGTATAATTACCTTAGAGGTATACTTCATATATAAAATAAGTATATATAATTTTGTCTACATTATGAAAATAAAAAGATGCAATACTACCAATTCTGGAGTAAAGTCTCTTTCTCCAAACCAATTACTCAAATATTCCAAGACACTAGTTACTGTTGCCTAAAGAAAAGGGGGAAAAGGGGGTGGAAGAAATGTATTAGTAATAAAACAAAGACAAATTCAACATAGGTTTCATTAAGTTTAGTTAGAAAGCAACTCTAATATATAAGATGGTCCCATTCTTTAGACTTCCAGAGAAAACTGTGACTATATTTAGTAATTTGGTTAGGTGGCTCACTCAGTGAGAAAAGGCTTTTAGGACAAATATTTTTATGTACTTTCAAGTATCAATATATTGGTTTAAATCCAAGGATTTAGTCTGTACTACTAATTTAGTTTATAAATGCCTGAAAAATTCCACATGCTCTTAAAAATGTCTTTGCATAAATACCTTTAAATTATTTCATTGAGTCAAGGTAAAAAATCTAAAAAGCAAGTTAGCTGGAGAAAGATCTGTTTTAAAACTATATAGATAGAATTTATTAAACTGTTAAAAATATTCTCTCACTTCTTCAAGTATAGTTGGACACTTAGAAAAATCACTCACTGAATTTAGTATGCCTACTATAGTATTTTTAATGCAAACAATCAAGTAAGTGAAACTATTTGCCAATATATGATTTACAACAGAGTGTGACCCTTAAAAAATTTATCTTCCAAGAGCACCCAATGCTATGTGAAGGCAAAACAATCAAATTTTTCATTTGCTCTTCAAATGGGTAACAGAAGGGCAGCCCGGGTGGCTCAACAGTTTAGCGCCACCTTCAGCCCAGGCGTGATCCTGGAGACCCGGGATCCAGTCCCACATCAGGCTCCCTGCGAGGAGCCTGCTTCTCCCTCTGCCTGTATCTCTGCCTCTCTCTCTCCTCTCCGTATTTCTCATGAATAAATAAATATAAAATCTTAAAAAAAATAATAAATGGATAACACAATTCTTCATCCTAAAGGAGTAAAGAAGCTTTTGATCCAAGAAATTATATGTATCATTCTTAATGGGATGTGTAGGACATCTGGCACTAGAAATAGCAATCTAACTTTAGTTTTATTTCAAACTCCAGAATCTAAGACTTAAAACTGAAATGTATACAACTGAATAGTTTAGCAACATAATTTAGTATGAGCCCTGGAATTACATCAAATTGGGATTAATCCCAGTGTTGCTGTTAGAACTTGCTGAAAAACCACCTGTAAGTCACTTAACCTTCAATTTTGTTTCCTAATCTATAAAAATTGGATGTTAATAATAATTCTCCATATATGGTGGTACTGGGGATTAAATAATAACTGTTAAAGAGGTTAGGACAGGGTCTTACATACTGAAGTATTCAATAAATGTATTCATAAACTCTCATGCACGTTGAAAACAAAAGTATACATAGACCCTTATTATTAGATGGATTTTACCTGATTCATTCTGCTAACGATACTAAGCAAGGGAGGAAAACCAATCTGAAAGAAAAATGAGACTGAAATTTACTAAATGGTATTATAAAGGGTGCTTCATTGTTTTCAAACTGGTGAATTTCTTACCACACCATTATTTAAAAACAAAAAATGAATAATAGGAAATTCCTTCATTACCCATTATAATAAAAACATTCCATCAACTATTATGTTGATTATTATATCAAAAATATGTTATATCAAAAAGTATTTTGCAATTTGAATATATAAATTTAAAAATAATGATGGGGGTGCCTGGGTGACTCAGATGGTTAAGCGTCTGCCTTCGGCTCAAGTAATGATCCCAGGGTCCTGGGATACAGCTCCGTGTTGGGCTCCCTGCTCTGCAAGGAGCTTGCTTCTCCCTTTCCCTCTGCCTGCTGCTCCCCCTGCTTGTGCTCTCTGTCAAATAAATAAATAAAATCTTTAAAAAAAAGACTTTAGTAATTAAAATGTTAAAGTATGAAATTTCTTAAACTGACACTATGATACCATTGATATTATGACATTAACATGTTGTATACACTTTTTCAAAATCTTCAGCTAAAGCTACTATTTTCAGGAATTAAGGGTACTTAACAGTGATTTTTTTTCAAACCTAATCTGATTCAATTAAAAAAGTACTTTAAAGTTTAATGCTGGGAGCACTCATTATGAAAATAGCACTGACGGAGAGAAAATTAAGAGGACATGCATTAACTCTGCCTCCTTAAATTGATCTTCCACATGATGTATTTGACATCTATATATTTTGTAATAACTAGCTAAATAAGTTTTGATTCTTTGTCAAATTAAAACACATTTTGAAATGTAATATCCATTAAGGGTATTACCCAAAAAAACAACAGATTTTAAAAGAAATGGGGCCAAATTAGTTCACTTATAGATCTGAATCTATTTATACCACACCACCATGTGTAAGAGCGCCTATTTTCCCAGACCTTGTTAACAAAGTGTATCAAATCTCTTTTGCCAATGTTATCTGAAATGTAACAGCTCAATGGAGTGATGACTTAACTTGGGCATCCTCTGATATAACAAGAATTCATATTTTTCTTTCTGTGAGCTATTTACATTCTTTGCCTTTTCTGTTTTAATTAGGTTCTTGGTCTTTTAGTGACTTTTGGAATCGTTTTTTGTTTTTTTAAGTAGGGTCCATGCCCCATGTGTGGCTTGAACTCATGACCCTGAGATCAAGACCTGAGCCAAAATCAAGAGCTGGATGTTCAACCTACTGAGCCACCTACGTGTCCTGATTTTTAGAGCTTTTACATTTTTTGGATGAATTACTTTTAAATGAGAAAAACACATATGGTGGGGACAAAAAGCCACTGGCCACATAATTTATGATTAGAATAAAGCCATAGGAAATTTAAATATATATCTTCAATACTTCATCCCCAGAATATGAATTCTAAGCATTTTTAAGCATCTAATTGTGTCATGTTTTCCTTTGTTTTCCTGACTACTCAAAAGTCATAACCCATGCTTAATCATTAAAAAAAAAAAACACAAAACAAAACCCTGAATTCTATCTAACTCAAAAAATTATCACATAACTAAAATCTAAAAGATATGAAGCCCACCTAAGAAGTCACAGTACATTGTTTCAGAAATCAGGCTGCAAATTTTTAAGTTAAAGAGCCAATTAGCTAGGCCATGGGTTGGCAAATATTTTCTGTGAAGAACCAGACAGTATTTTTGGCTCTGCAGGCCATACATTGCCTTACTCACTTATTATTATTTTAAAAACACTCTTAGCTCTACACAAAAACAGACTGCAGTCTAGATTTGGCCTAGGCTGTAGTTTGCAGAATCTTTGTATTAAATCATACACTAAAAGTAGAACGCTTTTTGTTTTGTTTATCCATATTATCACGTACCTGCACATAATCAATTCCAGGACCTTCACTTGTAGCTGGTCCAACAGCCCCTTCAGCGCATAACCTTTCACCCAAACAAAATTTTTTCCAGCCTTCTTCATCTTCGGATTTTGGCTAAAAGAAAAAAAAAAAAAAGAATTTACTTCTTTCTTTTAAAAATATTTTATTTATTTATTCATGAAAGACAGAGAAAGAGAGAGAGAGTTGGAGACACAGGCAGAGGGAGAAGCAGGCTCCACACTGGGAGCCCAATGTGAGACTCGATCCAGGGACCCCAGAATCATGCCCTGGGTCAAAGGCAGGTGCCAAACCGCTGAGCCACCCATGTGTGTCCTTTCTTTTTTTACACTTTATTGAATCATGAAAAAGAAGTGAAGTCCTCCATATTCCCACCACTTCAACAGAAATATAGTACCTGCTATGGGCTGAATTTTGTCCCCTCAAAACTCTTATGTTGAAGTCCTAACCTCCAGTATCTTAGAATGTGACTAGGGCCTTTAAAATGGATGTTAAAATCAGGCTTTTAGGGGGGCTTTCTTCCAATCTGACCAATGTCATTATGAGAAAAGGAAACTTAGGGGCACCAGGTGGTCAGTTAAACGTCTGACTCTTTGGTTTAGGCTCCGGTGGTGGTGACTTCAGGCCCCAAGTTGGGCCTCTGCCCCTCCCCACCCCACCCCTTGGCATGGGCACACTGTCTCTCTCTAAAATAAATAAATCTTTTTTTTTTTTAAGAGGAAATTTAGACATAACAAGAGGCAGTAGAGATGCTTGTGCACATAGATGAAAGACCATGTGAGGACACAGCAAGAAGATGGCTACCTGCAAGTCAAAGAGGCCTCAAGAGGAATCAAACCTACAAACCAACTAATACCTTGATCTTAGACTTCTAGCCTATAGAACTGAGAGAAAATAAATTACTCTTTGCTAAAACACCCAGTCTGTTTTGTTCTGGCAGCCCTAGCAAACTGATACAGTGCTCAAGTGTTACACATTTTGTGGGACGTGTTTAGTTTGGATCACCCTTTAATGGACACTGACAAACAAGGGTTTGTTCAAGAGGGTGATAAAGATGGAAACTGGTAGGGAAAAAAATGCACTAAAAACGCTTACAAAAATGAAGGATGTTTATACCAGGAAAGGAGATGGGATTACATCCTTCACCTACTTGGAAAGGCAGTCCAGTCAAAGAAAGAAAAGATTTATTCTACACTTCTAAATGCAGGACCAGTGGGGAGAAGCATTAACAAAACAATTTTTATTTGTACACAACACCTCGCACATTACTTTGTATAGATGTAGTTTTTCCCTCTGAGGATAAATAGCTTTCATAAGATTCTCAGGACAAACATGAGACCTCTGAAAGTGTAAAACCTATGTACTAGAGCACTGTATATGCCCTTTCCCTTTACTCCATTAGGTCAGAGACTATTTCTATTTTAGGTAACACTGAATACCCTGATTATTAAATATAGCAGGTGCTTTATAAATGATTGAATAAATAAGTAAATGTTTATATTTACATGGTTGCTTTAAATAAAATGTCAGAGTACTTTAAAAATTTTTCATTTTAGGGATGCCTGGGTGGCTCAGTGGTTGAGTGTCTGCCTTTGGCTCAGGTTGTGATCCCAGGGTCTTGGGATTGAGTCCCTCATCGGGCTCCTCACAGGGAGACTGCTTCTCTCTGCCTATGCCTCTCTCTCTCTCTCATGAATAAATAAAAATCTTTAAAAAAAATGTTTTTTCATTTTATTGTTTACATAATGTTAACTTTTGCCATGATAAACGTGCTATTGCTTTTAATACTCCACTGTTTTGATGGATCATAATTTATTCAATTAGGTCATTTACATTTTTGACAAAATTATATTGTTATAATGTTACTGATCCAGCTTCTTTTTGAATTAGTAAGCATGTCCCCAAAAGTCCTTATACTGAGCAAGAAAAAAATGTATCTACTTACCTACCCTCCTTCCCTCTGCCCCCTTTTCCCAGGAGGCCTCACAGCACAATGAAAAGCTTTACAACCAAACTTTGGTTTGAATCTTAACTATACCTTGTATGAGTTAAATGATCCTGGGCAAGTGATGTTAGTTCGTCTCACACTCTCCCTAGAGCAGAGCTTTCAAATGGTATGGAGAAGCAAGTAGAGTCCATATACTGAATCTCACAGCTTTCAACTTGTAGTCTAGGGCTATGCAAGCAGTCTCCTCCATTTATCCTAATGTGTCACCATGTAAAAGATATTAGGAAGCACTGCCTAGAGGAAGCTTCTAAAATCTGAAATCTATGAACTACCTGAAACTATGAACAAAACTGTGTGCCCTGTTGCACACAATTTTTTCCTTTGAAGATAAATAGCTTTTATTTGATTTTCAGGAAGATTATGAGACTCCCCAAAAAGTTAAAAGTATTGTCCTGGAACAATGTATACATCTCCTCTCCAACTCCCTTTTTTAATTCAGTAGTCCAGATATAACATATTTCCTTAAGTTGAAAATATATTTAAGCTGATAAAGCACAGAAAATACTACTTTTTAGCATGCATGACAAACTTTACTAGGATGTCACTGGTTTTGGCACCATTACCTCACGAGGAAAACCCAATAAGCCTTTATTTGATCTTTTTGTAAGTACTGAAAATGCATTTATTTTATAAAAAAGCAATGTCTAGAACCCTTAAAAGTTTATAGAGATCTAACAATTACCTATCCAAAGTCTCTCAAGATGCTATGAATTAAAACTGCCATAAAAATAACTTGCAGGGCAGCCCTGGTGGTTCAGCGGTTTAGCACCGCCTTCAGTCCAGGGTGTGATCCTGGAAACCCAGGATTGAGTCCCACGTCAGGCTCCCTGCATGGAGCCTGCTTCTCCCTCTGCCTGTGTCTCTGCCTCTCTCTCTCTCATGAATAAATAAATAAAATCTTAAAAAAAAATAACTTGCATTATTGATTCTATAAAGGTTTATATGATGGAATTGTTTTTATTAATGGTCAATGAAAAAGAACAAAAATAACATAGACTAAGTGAATCTTTAAAGACTGGTAGTAAATATGGACTATTTCAAATGGGTACACACTGTACAACTTAAACAAAGAAACTTACATACCATGGTCACGTTACTGTCTAACTGTTGTGATTTCCAGTGACTTCTATGTCTGATCACACTCTAAAGGAAGAAAAGTTAGGCAAGTGATCTTCAGAGAATGGATAACTGAAAAGAAATAAATTGTGCAATATCCTAGTAATCTTGAAACTTGGGGGGCAGCCGGGGTGGCTCAGCGTTTTAGCCCCGCCTTCCGCCCAGGGCCTGATCCTGGAGACCAGGGATCGAGTCCCATGTCAGGCTCCCTGCATGGAGCCTGCTTCTCCCTCTGCCTGTGTCTCTGCCTCTCTCTCTGTATCTCTCATGAATAAATAAATAAAATCTTAAAAAAAAAAAACACAACTTGGAAAACATGTTTCCAACTGTATTATGTCTCATGATTATAATTTGGTTAACTGATTCATAGATATTTTAACTTTATCCTTCAGAATAAGGAATCTTAGGGAGCCTAGGTGGCTCAGTTGGTTAAGTGACTGATTTTAGGTTTTGACTCAGGTCATGATCTCCCGGGTCATGGGATGGAGCCCTGAGTCCCAAGGAGGGGCTCCTCCAGACTGCAGCTCAGCGCTCAGCAGGAAATCTGCCTAAGGATTCTCTCCCTCTGTACCTCCCCCCACTCATATTCCTGCCTGCTTGCATGCACTTTCCCTCTCTCAAATAAATAAATCTAAAAAAAAGTATAATGAATCTTATTTTTCCAACTACAGTCTAAGAACAGAAATAATTCTTGAGGGAGAGAGGGGTTTAATTTTTATTTAAAATTCAATTAGTCAACATATATTACGTCATTAGTTTCAGATGTAGAGTTCAGTAATTCATTAGCTGCATACAATACCCAGTGCTCATTACATCATAGGCCCTGTTTAAAGCCCACCACCCTATTACCTCATCCCCCCCCAACCCCCTCTCCAGCAACCCTCAGTTTGTTTCCTATAGTTAAGAATCTCTCATGGCTTGTTTCCCTTTCTGATTACTTCCCATTCAGTTTTCCCTCCCTTCCCCTATGATCCTCTGCACTGTTTCTTATATTCCATATGAGTAAAATTAGAACTGTCTTTCTAATGGAAGGGGTTTAATTTGATTAAATGATTAAAGTACGCTCACCTGTCGAACAGATGAAAACTGTGCCACTTGTTGTTGTTGCCACTGAAGTGTGGGAGAATATCCTTCAGGAGCAGGTTGGCATCCTGAAAGCTAGAGATCAGTTCATAAATATTAGAATCAATGTTAGTGTTATAACTACAACCTCATTCCTCTGCAAAGTAAAAGCACAACCAAGATGAAGAGTAATAAAGTAAATGATTAAGGCTATCTAAGAAAGATACTGTACTCTCTCAGATGCCAAAAAGTAGGCCTTTCACTTTACTATTTATGTCCAAGTTTGAACATTAGGAAAAGATCCTTGTGGGGTCACTTCAATAAGAGCAATCTGGAATGGTTCATATTTGGAGTTTCTAAACTAAATAATCTAAATTATATGAGCCCTGAAGACGTAATTTTGTCCTACCTTTCTATAAGAAGACAATTATTTGAAATGAGGAGATATAACCCACATAAAGAATTTGGTATTGGCAGAATGTACTCAAATAATCTAAGACATTTGACTTTACAAAGGCTACTTCAGCTTCCTAAGACAGCACAATAGGTCAAAATACTGCCTTGAAATACATACTGCCTTGAAATAATAGTGTGTTTTTTAAAAGCTAGGTAGATAAGATATTCTCATCCATCAACTAAAAATTTCTGAAAATATGTGAAACATTATAGCATCTGAATTAAAATTTCATAAGAGGAAAAGGACCTATCACAATTTAAAAACTGCTGCTCTCCTTTGACCCTAGGTTAAATAATATGTCCTTAGAGAGACTTTCTGTGACAATTTTAATTGTCAACAGTACAATTGTAAACAAGTAACCTTGTTACTTATTGGTCACATACAGGTTAATTTTCTTCATATCAAGTCAATATAGGTGCGCCTAGGTGGCTCAGTGGTTGAGTGTCTGCCTTTCATTCAGGTCTTGATCCTGGGGTCCTGGGATCGAGTCCTGCATCTGGCTCCCTGTAAGGAGCCTGCTTCTCCCTCTGCCTGTGTCTCTGCCTCTCTTCTCTGTGTCTCTCATGAATAAATAGATAAAATCTTAAAAAAAAAAGTCATAATATATAATTACTTTGTTTGCTTGTTTACTCTGTATTCCTCAGGAGAATGTAAACTCTGCCAGGGTAGGGATTTTTGTGTCTCATTTTCTACTGTAATCCCAGGGCCTGGCACAACCTAGTCACTTCATAAAAAATATGCTGGCTAAATAAATGAACAAAAATATTCAAGGTGTGCAAGTAACTAGAAAAATGTAAGACACCTGAGTTTCTATTCTTAAAAAACAAAGCCCAAATTCAGAACATGCAATATTACACTAAATAGCATTAAACACCAATCCAAGAATAATTATGAACAAGACTGGAAAAAGGTTCCTTAAAAATAAAGAATAACGTAAGTAACCTATTTAGAGTCCTTTAGGATTGGATCACGGCCCTGAAGTATGAGGAGTCTCCACGAATGCCAGGGTTACTGGAAACCGCTCTGGGGGCAGTAAATGCCAACTGTCCTTTTGAGGGTAAAAGTCCAAGCTAATGTTCAATGTCTCAGGAAGTAGTCCAATCTTACATAAATCATAAAGATACTACAGGATACCATAGGAAGGCCACTGAGCTTTCCATTTGGTGGGGGGAGAGGGGGAGGAAGGGGAGAATCCCCTGCTGGGTAATAAAACTCACAGAAACATTCACACTTTGCTTCCTTTTCAACTTCTTTGGGTCAATTTGAGCTACCACAACATCTGGACATTGAGCTGCTTCGATCCTACAAATAAGTAATAAATGCAAGAAATGTGATTACGGCTGTGCTTTGTTCCTGTGCAGTAAAACGAGCGATCCATTCTACAGTTCTTCACGAAATCAGAAAAAAAAAAAAAAAAAAAAAAAAAGGAAGCGCAATGGACGTACTACACAAGGTTATTTCCGAAACCAACTGGAAAGCAAGGAAATCCAAAAGCACACATCTTGACACAGGTAAACAGAATCACATTCATAAAAACTCGCCCAGGTAAAGATGTCATCAAGTGATCTTGATTCGACCCTACCTCGCGTGAAATAGGGAACGGCAACAGAGGCGGGGCTTTATCACACTTAGGTAGGGGTCGAGCTGTGCCCGGGGGCAGAGCGGACGACCCGCCCACCCGCACGGGGCCAAATCACTCACTGGACCCGCCTCAGGTATTCCTGAGGCGTCCTCGGTGGGACGGAGGGATCAAAACTTTCTGTCAAGTCGCACGGTTCCACTGGCAACAGCCTGGGCATCAACTCTTCCACTGCGGATTCTGCTGGCATCCACGCCATGGTTTTTAATCCCGCCAGTCCCCCTTGGCGCATGCGCCAAGTGCAGGTCACGGCGCAGGCGCAGAGGTAGGCACATTAAGCGCGGAGTCTAAGGAGGCGGAGCTTAGGCCGTGTAATTGCGCTTGAGGAAGCCGGCCGGTTGTCCCAGACTAAGGGCTCGGGTGGTGTCAGGAGACGGTGAAGTTTAGTTCCTTGCAGAAGTGGTCCTGAAGTGTTTCTGCATGTTTCCCTCTGTTCTCTCTCCTGAGGCCAGGGGAAACACTGAGGATTAAGCTTTATGCATCTGCAGCAGTAAGGGATCCTTGGATATTTTTTGAATTAATGAACAGTGTTATTGTAATTACCATTTATTGAGCTCTAGATTTTTTTTTTTAATTGTCTACAAGAAATCCACTTCATTTATTTGAGCTCTTAAACCCCTGGTAGACATGTCACGTATGTTTTCCTCGTTTAGTTTTTACACCAACTCCTTGAAGTAAGTGGTATTATCCTGGTTCTGTAGGGGAGAAAATCGATATAAAGAAGGGTTAAGTACTACAACTGTGACTTTCACTCCCACAGTGAGACAGAGGCTAGAAGAGCCATTTCCAACCCAGATTTATCTGATGCCAAATGAATGAAAAATTGATTTTCCAGAGAAATTTCTTGTGCTTGGCTACTTGAAAGATCACTTTGTATTTGCTGGAAATGAATATTAGTCCTTGAGTAGCCATCACTTTCTTCTTCTTTCTTCTTCTTCTTCTTCTTCTTCTTCTTCTTCTTCTTCTTCTTCTTCTTCTTCTTCTTCTTTCTTCTCCTCTTCCTCCTCCTCCTCCTCCTCCTCCTCCTCCTCCTCCTCCTCCTCCTCCTCCTCCTTCCTCCTTCTTCTTCTTCTTCTTCTTCTTCTTCTTCTTCTTCTTCTTCTTCTTCTTCTTCCTTCTCCTTCTTGAGAGATCTCTTTGTTCAAATGAGTAGTGAAAGGATAAAGCTAATGCCAATACCCAAAAGTTACCATGATTAATCTTAGGGCCAATCTTGTGAGGTAGGTACTATTATCTCCATTTTACAGGTGAGGAAACATGTCAGAAATGGATTAAGTAACTTGTGCTGGGCGACATTCCAAGGAACAATGAAGGTTATATCTGATTCTTTCTAAAGAAGCTCTGAGTAAATATAATTGACTTTTATTTCCTAAGATCATGTTTATTTTTAAAGCTTTTTTTTTTAAAGCACTGCCTTTAGCTTGCAAGTAATTGATTTCAAAACCAGAATGTAACTTTCTCATTTGAAGATAAAGTGAGGACAGTTCCTGGGTTAAGACCTAAAGGAATTTGTGCTTATGAACAGTAAGTAAACAATTGGGAGACTCAGAAACACACTACTTGACTGCAGTCAAACTAGAAGGTTATTTGGTTAAAAATGTTACTGATTTAGTAATAACTTTGTATGGTGACAGAGGTGGAAACTACACTTATGGAGGTGAGCATTAAAAGTTTGTGTGTGTGTGTGTGTGTGTGTGTGTGTTTAACTGATTTTGGAAGAAACAAAGTTAAAGAGAAATATGGAAACTCTTGCCCCCAAACATTTTGGTAATAATAAAGAAAAGATTAGAAAACGTAAGTGATGACTTCATTTCTGGATTTTCTTACAATTTTTGTGGAGGAGGGGAAACTAATTTGTTAGCAATTTCCACCTATTTTTTGGATAAAACATAGGTAATTACCTAGAAGACTACCTACCAAAGGAACAATGCTTAATACTGGATTTCATGTATAAGGAGGTGGCAGAATTACACATAGATGAAGAAAAAAAAAGGAGAAGAACAGTGGGATGGAACAAAGGTTGTCCTTGGAAATAATTATTTTCCAAAAGAAGAGGAGAGTAATAAAGTACATGAATGATTTGAAATGGTTCTAAAATTTTGAATACACAGGAAAAAATTCATTCAGGAAAGAGGAAAGTAAGTTAAAAATTTGTAAGGGTTGGGGCACTTAGGTGGCTCAGTGGTTGAACATTTGCCTTTGGCTCATGTCGCGATCCTGGGGTCCTGGGATCAAGTCCCGCATCGGGCTCCCTGCATGGAGCCTGCTTCTCCCTCTGCCTGTGTCTCTGCCTTTCTGTGTGTGTCTCTCATGAATAAATAAATAAAATCCTAAAAATTTTTTTGGTAAGGGTTGCTTTCTGCTAGTGTAGTGGAGTAAGAAAGCTTTGTACTGGGAGAAAAAAAAAAGGAAGGCTTCAGCTACGCCCTATTTGGAGGCTGTGGCATGGGAAAGCTGTAGGTTAGCTATTGTAGGAGAGGCTTAATTTCTCCTCCACACTCTTAGGGTCTCTGGCTAGGCCTAATAATTAAACTGACATAAGACTCCTTAATAGGAGAAAAGCATGCAAATTTTCTTTAGTCTTTCTTTTTTAAAAAAGATTTTATTTTAGGTGATATATATATATATATACATACATATATGACCATATATATATATATATATATATATATATATATATATTGGCCATTGTCCATTTGTATATTCAATCTCAGCAGGTAGAGGAAAGAGTTTGTTCAGGGAGTTATTACTAGAAGAAATAGGTCATGCTGGAAAAATTGGAAGGAGGTCAATATGGCTGATGCATAAAAAGTATAAGGAGTGAATGGTGCTGGACAGGGTTGTGAGAAATGTAGCTGTATATAGTTATGTCTAGAGAACCTTCTTAATGTGTGCTGGGGGCTGTCAATGCCCTCCAACCAAAGACTACCAGAACGCTCCTAGAGTCACATGATTATTGACACTAGGGTATGTCTCAGAAGAAGGATACTAAAACTAACTTATCATAGGATTTGGGCCTTGGTGATTTGCGGATGGTGGAGCTTTACTGTCAGGAATTGGGTATAATTCTGAGTCTGACTGCTGGTTAAAAACCTATGGGTGATTTTTCATGCTTGACCATAGCAGTTAAAAAGGCTTTCCCTGGGAAGGCTTCACAGGGGGGAACTGCCCTCCTCATACAGACTTGGTACACAACCCGTGCATTGCAGTCTCTGAAGGGAGTTGCAATTAGATTCAGTCCCTCCTGGCTGGCCGTGCTCTTATGTATAGTTGCATTCCTAGCCAGATGTCTTCATTTGGAGATCTCCTTATTGGGAAATTTACCCACTCTCTCAGAACCCAATACTTTACTACTATTACCACCCTTTCCTCCCAACCCATCACAACAGCCTTAGTTCCATAAATCTGCAGAAAACACTGGTTAGGGACTTCCTCAAAAGTGAGATGATCCCCAAGTTTGCACTGATCCACCTGACCCTCAAACAGTGGGAGTGATTAGAGGCTTCACTGTTAACTCTGTTTTGGCTCATTGTTGCTTTAATTGCCTACTTTGACATTTAGCTGCTCAATTCTTTCTCTAGCTCATTTGAGCATACAAATTCTGTGATTATATATCTTAATACTTCTTATATAGGAGGTAAAAGGGAAACTAATGGTATAATTGGTAAAGAAGAAGCAGTACTCAAAATAGGTCAGGGAGATATTTGGTCATTTTGTGTCTTGGACAATTTTCTTGATTTGTCTGAGTTCAGACACTAATACAGAGTTATCTTGTTTTCATCTTGATCCTTCAGGGACACTAAGTGGCCTTGTCTGATGTTGGTGTGCTGTGAAATGGTTTATATTCAATAGGAGAATGGCAAGCCTTGCAGTAAATGCCAGCCAGGACAGCTCCTGACAACAGCCAGGCACAGTTGATAGAGTGAGGCCCATTTCAGGCTCTTAGAATCTGCTTTTCTTTCTCAGGGCTAAACATTTGGTCTAGATTATTTCATTTAATCCTTACAATGTATTGTTACCCTAACTGGTAGGCTTACAATATCTTCCCTTTCAGATGACAAAACTGTGGCTCAGAAAATGTTATGGGACATGCCTAGCTCACACAACTAGGAAGTGGATGGAGTTGAGATTCTGTCCTGGGTGGTCAGACTTAATGAGCCATTGTTGTAAATCACTGTTTCACAAGGTACAGCTCAATAAAAATAAGTAGCTAAATAGAGCCTTTATGACCTATTGGTCACAGGGTAGAGAGAGGCAATAAAAAGACAGGTACAAGGAGAATGTAGTCTTTTTTTTTTTAAGATTTTATTTATTTATTTAAGAAAGAGAGCACATGGGGCAGAGAGTGGTAGAGGGAGAGGGAGAAGCAGACTCCCTCTGAGCAGGGAACCCTGTGCAGGGCTTAATCCCAGGATCCTAAGATTATGACATGAGCTGAAGGCAGATGCTTAACTGACTGAGCCACCCAGGTGCCCAGAGATTCTAGTCTTAGTACACACCCTGTGGGCAGGAGCAGTCTCTTTAATCTCTGTGTCTCTGTGTCTCCATCTCTTTATCTGAGACTGCTTTCCTCCAACTAGGGGTCCAGATCCACAAAAAAGACTACAAAGCTGACTTGATACCAGTAAATCAAGATGAGGGCTAGTTTAATTATAGGACACGAAACAAAACTAAAACTTTATCCCTCTTTTAAAGCAAAAACACAAATCTAGTTCCTCCTTTTGATTACTTCTTTCTTTTTTTATTTTATTTTTATTTTTTATTTTTTTATACTTCTTTCTTTTTTTAAGACTTCATTTATCTATTAATGAGAGGCAGAGAGAGAGAGAGAGCAGGCGGAAGAGACAGGCAGAGGGAGAAGCAGGCTCCACACAGGGAGCCCGACGCGGGACTCGATCCCAATCCCGGGTCTCCAGGATCAGGCTCCAGGCTGAAGGCAGCGCTAACCGCTGAGCCACCCTGCTGCCCAGTTCCTTCCTTTTAAGGTAGAAGTTCCCTTCTCTCCTACATGAGTTTTAATAATTCTTATGTTCTTTACAAATCAAATGAAATATTAATTAAAAAGAAGGGGCACCTCTCTGTTTCAGTTGATAGAGCGTGTGACTCTTGATCTCAGGGTTGTGAGTTCGAACCCCATGTTGAGCATGGAACCTACTTAAAAAATAAAATAAAAACCCTGCGTGTATAAAAAGGAAAAAAATCTGTCGGTAGATAACTATGATTTGTTTCTTT